GCTGAGCAGCTTAGCCAGCAGTTATATGCAGAATGCCATTGGCTTACAGAAAACAGGTAAACCAGGAGAGCTGAGAGTTTGTTTTCAAGGCTACGGCAGCATCTCTCCCGGGTCACACAGTGGATTCTCAGTAACTTTTTCCTAACCAAGGTGACTTACATTTTATTTAATCCAGATTTCAGGAGTATTTTCCATTTGGGGAGTCTTCTCATTCCTGGAGTCTGTCTCTGGAACTGTTAGCCCCCTCTGTGAAAGGGTCTCACAGAGGTATGTAGCAGGAGAGGATATTCATACCATGGTCCCCTATACTTCTTAATACTCTAAATTTGGAAGGAAGGAGGAGAATTATAGAACCAAAAAGGTGTTTGTGTAATTCTGTTTAACTTCTTTCTTCACCCCCTCCTACTGCTACAATGGAGTGGAAAGAACATATGTCAGGCAGAACTAGGTTCCCATCCTCTGCCACATTAGCTGTGTGATCCTGGATGTGTGATTTAATTTCTCTGAGCCTTACTATCTTAACTGGAAATACAAGTTACCCTACCTCCCTATAGGATTAGTGTGAGGCTGTATGAGATAATATATATAAATGAGGCAATGTATATAAATGTTATTTCCTCCTTTCTTCCTATCCTCTCTCCTGTGTCCTACCCCTCGTACCACCAGGGGCTGTGACTGGAGAACTGATGAGGTGATGAAACGGCTGGAGGGGAAGAAGAGAGAGAAAAAATAACTCCCCATTAGTTGGTTTAGAACACATCGTGTTCCAAATAAACAAATCCTCCTGCTTGAGGCTAGTGAACGGACTGAAGCAACAAAAGCTAAAACTAGGCTATTTATATTTTATTCCTAAATTCCCCCCTATTCACTTATGGGGGCATTTTTCATACTGCCCTCACAGCCTGGAGGAGCACAGAATAATCATGGAGCAGGAGGAAGTAGCCGGAACCAGGCTTGAACTGGCTATTTTTTTCCTTGTCTGTCCTTGGGAGGAAGACAATCCTCATGAATGAGTATTTCCTCCAGGAAAACTCTGGTGTGAAATCAGGAGTGTGACAGGGAAAGCTGAGCCACACCTTGGATGACCCTTCCTACAGAAGCAAGAAATCCTTTCTCACTGGGCATTCAAGGAGGGTTATGATCGTGTTCCCCAGGAATCACGTGTTCAGAAAAAATGCTTTGTGAAAAGCTGTGTCTGGAATCAAGCAGCAGACCCTTGGCTCTGAAAATCCTAATGTTGCTCACAATGGCAGCAGAGTTCTGAGTGGCTAATGGGGCGGGGTGTGCAGCGGTTCTCCCCAGTGGGAGAGAGTGCCTCTCTGTCAGAGATGTGAAAGCCACAAGCTCCAGCCTGCTCAGCAGCCTTGCTATTCTTGTGAAATTTCTTTTATGATTAACCTTGCTGTCCCTTCCCTTTCCCTCCCTATCTCTGCCCCCCCGCCTCTCCCTGTGCCTCCCTTTTCTCTTCCCTTTTCCACATGCCTCTCTGCTGGTCCACAGCCAGTCCCAGCTCTGCAGCCCTCTCCGCAGCCTGTCCAGTTCTCTCCAGGCTCCTGTCCCCAAGTTCTTCTGCCAGTCTCTCCACCCCAGCAGTACAACATGGTATAAACCCCATTTCCCCTTTTTGTCTTGTCCATGTGTGGCCTGTATCTGTGAGTGTGTCTGGGTCAGTCTGTGACAACCTTGCAAAGCAGTTGTGCTTTTTGGAGGGCCATGTTAAAAGGTGTTTCTTCATGAGGGGCCAACACAGGCTGAACTACAGTCCATTCTAGTGACCTCATCACAGCACACTAGGCATCCAGAGACACCTAAACGTCGGTCAGGGAGGATCAATGAGTTCCCCTGAGTTTCAGGAGGGGAGCGAAATCGGATGTTGGTCTAACCTAAGCTCCTCATCCCTCTACTATCTGCATCCTTCATCTCATCTTCTCCCTGGATGTATCTGAGGAACCCGGTTTATTCCATACAGAATGGTTCTCTATAATTTCCCTAAAAAATCAAAACACAATTGCAGACTTCTCTGGTACCATTGGTAAAAACTTAAAATGTTCTCCTATCTTACCATATTATTTTACATAAAAAATATCCTCTTCTACTACATAGCACATGCTGTTTAAATTGTTTATACCCTGACTACAGATCTTTTGACCATCTGATTTACCTCATAGTTGATAACCTCCATCATGGTTATAGGAGCCCTGATTTTTTTATTTTGTGTTAATCACACCTATCTGCTTTTTCACAGAATCCCCTCTTTCCTCCCACCTCTTATCTCCATTCTGATAAGTCCTGGATATGGACCTCAAAAGAATCTGCAATCCAGTCCTCTTGTCATGTCTTTCTGCCCACTAAGGTGGCAAAATAGCTAGCATGAAGATCATATTCCTGTAAATCAAGTGAAACTGCAGGAAAGCATTGTCTTTTGTTTCTGCTAGTTTCTTTTGCAAAAGAACTTCTGCTGTGCATGTGTGTGTGTGTGTGTGTGTGTGTGTTGATTACTATCTAGGGAGCAGAAGGGACAAGGAATCTAACAAACTTTAACCTATCACCATACAAGTGAGAGATGAACACCATCACTCTTGCTGCTTAGAGCAGAGGGCTAAGAGAGAAGGCAATTACAGACTAGCCAGTCAGTCTCGCCCTCCAGCTCGGCCACTCACCCTGGCCTCCTTTCCGAGGTGAGAATTAGAAGTGGTTTCTGAAGGACAGGAGAACTCAAGGCAAGTGTCAGAGAACAGAGGTGGAAATGACTTTGAGAGGGAGTAAGGAGATAAGCAGCAGGAGTGGGAGTCCACCAGTCTTTCCACTGCGTCGGCAGAGCTGGGAAGCCACATGAACCTAGCCACCCATAATCTACTCAAGGTGCTATCTGGGTCCTTTATTATAAAAATGAGATTTATGGCAACATAGGGGCCCTTTGTATGGTTGGAGGCATGAGGAAGACAGGAAATGGAAAGACATAGTCTTTTTTTTTAACCCACTATTTGTCTTGTTTTTTCTATATATAGAAGTTGTGTCATTGCTCCCGTCTCCCCAGGACTAATTTTAATAAAGATCATAATCAGAGTGGTATTGTTACCTCATATGTGATAGGGACTCTGGCTCTGGAGTTGGGCTTCAAACAGCTGTTCAATTCATAGCAGTTTAAAACACCACATGACAGAGGCTTAGGGCTAAAAAGTGCCTCCCAGGGCACAGAGGCAGGAGTGTCCCACAATGGTATAAGGAAGGCTGTAGAGAAGGTTGCTATTTCTGTCTGTCTGTCTGTGTTGAAGCCAAAGATATGAGGCTTGATACAACCTTGGTCCTTGAGTCTCCCCATTCTCCCAACAGGCAGATGACCTCAGCAGCCCCTTTGGACAAATGAGCCTTAGCCGCCAAGGTTCTGCTGAAGCAGCTGACCCATCCTCAGCTCTGTTCCAGCCCCCACTTATCTCCCAGCACCCTCAGCAGACTAGCTTCATCATGGCTTCTACAGGACAGCCCCTCCCGACTTCCAACTATTCCACCTCTAGCCATGCACCACCTACTCAGCAAGTCCTGCCACCCCAGGGCTATATGCAGCCCCCCCAACAGGTGAGTGGCTCGGGTTCCCAGCTTAAATCACTAATTCAGTTTGTCCAGTATTATAATCCTTCTTTTTTCTTCTAGTTTAGACAGACCAGAGGGGATACCTATCCCCCAACTCCATTTCCCCACCTTGCACTTGAAAGTTGTCTTTCTAGTCAGAAGGTCATCTTTCTATATAACACAAGATCTTCCTGTTCTATTTCAAACTTGTACACTAACACTGCAACTTCAGGCCCCAAATATCTCCATTTACAGATTTCTGGCCATCAACCCTGATGCATTTAATAGTCTGGGGATTTAGGGACTGAATTTGAGAGACCTTCTCACATCTGTTTCCTCTTACCATAGATCCAGGTTTCTTACTATACCCCTGGACAGTATCCTAACTCCAACCAGCAATATCGACCTCTCTCTCACCCGGTGGCCTACAGCCCCCAACGTGGTCAACAGCTGCCTCAGCCATCCCAGCAGCCTGGTAAGAGGAACTGTCAGTGTAAGAAGGCAGTGGATAGGGGAAAGGCAGAGACAAGGAAAGAGACAAGAATTACCTTCCCCATTTAAAAAAAAAAGGCAGGAATGATTAGGGTCCTAAAGAGGGACCCAGGATCTCCAGAAAAAGAGAAAGTAAAATAGGAGAGGGGAAATTCCTGATAGAGTGTGACCTCCTAAACATTGTTGAGACCATGCTAACGTTTTCTCTCCTTGCCCATCCCTAGGTTTACAGCCCATGATGCCTAACCAGCAGCAGGCGGCTTACCAAGGCATGATTGGGGTTCAGCAGCCACAGAACCAGGGCCTGCTCAGCAACCAGAGGAGCAGCATGGGGGGCCAGATGCAAGGCCTGGTGGTTCAGTACACTCCACTGCCTTCTTACCAAGTGGGTGCATTCTGCATTGGGAAAGAGCCCCCAGTCCTGGGGATGAGGAAAAGGAGGACAGCCTCCCACACAATACAGTCTGACAAATATTATTCACTTCCCCCTCAATTTTTTAGATTTTTTTCCTCTGAGAGAAAGCCCAGAGAGTCTGAAAAGAATCTTTGTTTAAATTGTTTGGTCCTTATACAGCCATGCAAATGAGTAAATGCCCAGAAAAGTAGGATCTAAAGGAAATCAGTCGCCTTCCTCTACGTTAAGTGCCCAAGGGTGGTTGGAGAAGAGGGAACTGGAGGTAGCTCTGTAAGCATTTCCTTTAGGCAGATGAGGAGAATAGGAGAGTCTCTAAGAGAGATGGAGAAGAAAATTAAGTGCCCTGGTCTAGTGATAACTAGACTGTTCTCTGGATAAACTTATTGGGAGTACGAGTGGTCATTCTCTTCTCATCTCCACCCAGGTCCCAGTGGGTAATGACTCGCAAAATGTGGTCCAGCCGCCTTTCCAGCAACCTGTGCTGGTCCCTGCGAGCCAATCAGTGCAAGGGGGCCTCCCAGCAGGGGGCGTTCCAGTGTACTACAGCATGATCCCGCCAGCTCAGCAGAACGGTACCAGGTGAGTACTCCCAGAGTCGGGGCGCGTCTCCCATAGATCTTCAGCCACTGTTGCACCATGGTTTTGTTTCCACTATCCTAAGAAAAGAAAGGCAGGGGTAAAGATCCAAGTGGTGCGCTAAAGCAGGTAGAATATGAGGGAGTTCATTCTCCATTTCTCCTAGTTGATTTGATATTTGCATAAGAGCTCAGTGGCAGGAAAAAATCCTGCTTCAGAAACAGAAGCTTTATAATTTCCCCCATTTTTTGTTTTTCTGATCAGTGAGATTAAGAACTATGGGGCAGAGACTGCTCATCATTAAAAGAAGCAATTTGGAGTGTATATTTGTAAATTTTTCTGTGTATCTCTGTATCCATGTATGAATCTCAGATGGTCTATCTATTTCTATATGTATTTTAGTATAAGTCATAGCCGTTAGAATTTTAGAAGTGGAAGCCACCTCAGAAATATCTAGTCTGCTCCCCTTATTTTATTTTTCTCCCTTCTTTTATAAATGAAGAAATTCCAGCTAGAGATGTTAAGAAACTTACCCCAGTCACACAGCTAGTTAGGAGCACAGCTGGAACTAGAATGCAAATCTGGGCCTACATATATGTATTTCTGTCTGTCTCTCGCAGTGTGTATATGTTTATTTCTGTGTTTTTTATATGTATGTCTTCATGTTGTCTTGAGTTTTGTGGGGGTTTTCCTCATTTGTCTTTAGGGGTCTGTGTTTACCATTGTATAAATATCCCAAATCACACAACTCCTTAGCTCTTTTTTACCCATCTCTCTCCAGCACTGTGTTTCTGTCTCTGGCATTCGTTTTGTCTGTGTTTCTGTTATGTTTCTCAGAGTGTGTGTGTGTGTGTGTGTGTGTGTGTGTGTGCATGTGTGCATGTGTATGTGTCTGGTGTTTTCACACTGTTGGGAAGAGCATGTGTCACTAACATTCCATCTGTAGTGCTGATTAGCAGCTTCCTAATTGAAAGATGATCAAGTACAAATATATATAATTAACTTTGTACTGATGAGTGATTTTAGAAATTGCACAGCAAATTGGTGTGGGAATGGCTTGGAGCTGCCTCTGCTTCCCACAGGGGAGGCCCAGGAAGCAGCAGCTGTTTGCCAGGAGCTGTGTTCCTTCCTCTACCACTTTACCACTCCTCTCTTCTCCACCTTCCCAGCCCTTCTGTGGGGTTTCTGCAACCTCCTGGCTCTGAACAGTACCAGATGCCTCAGTCTCCCTCTCCCTGCAGTCCACCACAGATGCCACAGCAGTACTCAGGTAAGAGGATAAAGAATTGGGGGGTCTTGAGCACTGGTAAGAGCAAACACCACTGTAGGACTTGTGCTCTAGAGCCGGAAAGGGCAGAGAGAGTTCAGGGATTGGCTCTGGCCCCAACTGTGACCCCCACAAGGAAAGAGCAAAGTCCTGGCTGGTGTTGTCCAGGGGTGCTAAAGTTGACCTCTCAAGAGAGGTGAGGTTGGTTGCCCCTTCCTCATCCTTGGGAAGCCACATCTCTGTTTGGGCTCCTGATTTTCTTTCTTATTCTTTTTTTTTTCCCCTGAATTCAGCATTCCACTCACCACTCACGTGCCTTTGAAACACAAGTACTTACCTGTCTCTTGCACCCATTCTTCCTATAGACAGCTTTTCTTTTCTCTTGGGACTGCAGGGGAGGCTGATAAAATGCTTTTTAAGCTGTATCTTAGATGTGTTTAGCAGTTTTTTGTATATGCTCACGAACATTCTGTCATTCTAATTCTCACCACAACTTCCTGAAGAGGAAATTTAAGACTCAAAGAGAATAAATGAATTGCCTAAAGTCACAATCCTAGAATTTGAATTTGGGTCTTTTGACTCTCCATAACCCATGCTGCATCCTCAGTATTGCATTTTCAATAGGTTTCTGTACTCTGTTCCTTTCTCACCGGTGGGAAATAAATGGATCTCATGTTAAACAGCTAAAGGGGAGCCAGCTATCCAGCTGAATGGGCTTAAGCCTTGCAGCCTCTCACTGTCTGCCTTTGGCAAGGACTCCTCCAACACACCAAGGATTTTCCCTTTCTCCCCACCCTGACATAGCATTACATTGCAGTTGAAGAATCTTCAGAGATTCTGGAAGGGAGGAGATCTTAATGTCATCTCCAGTTATCCCCATTCTGCTCTACTGTGGGAATGGCGGAGTGCCCTCTTCTGGTGAGAGGGAGGTATTTTGCCAGTTTTCCCCACTTTAGAAATGCAGTATTTTTCACATAAGATTTTTTGCACTCTATGTTAGATGCTGTAGAGTGGATTCCAGAATAAATCTTGCTCATACGACATGATAAATTCTTACTTCTAAGGAGTAATGATTTCTGCCCTCATCCAGAGCAAATGTAGATCTCTCACAGGCTGAGAGGTTTTAAATTCAACAGCCCTTACCCTTTTATTACATTATTAGTCTCTCTAGCTGTTTCTCCTAGTGTCTGCCAGGGGCACTTGACCTTGAAATTCCCAGCGGGGTATGGAAATTGTAGAAACCAGCTCCAAGAACCACTGTAGCCTGTGGTGGTGCTTGGCACCGCAGGGCATTTTCTCTCCTGTTAAAATAAGGGTGTGTGGTGCATATGGGTATACTTGTATGTGCATATTTGTGTGTCCTTAGTGGTATATCAATATATTTATTGGGTCTCTGTGATTGTATCTCTTCATCTTCAAATTGGAGGTCTTTGAATGAGAAACCAAGTGAAAAGAATTTTTCATGACCTGCTCTGGACCCAGTGCTGGGTCAAGTAAACTGAAACACTGTGGTTCCAGAAGTTGGCAGCACTAGAGATCTGGGCTGGGGTTAGAAGGAGATAATCTAGGCTCTTCCCAAATCAATAGAAATAGAGGAAACCCTTGTCATCTAGTTCCCTCGCTTATTTGGAATTTTCTGTCATATTTCCTTTCTTCCTAGCTACCCAGATTGATCCTAGGCTTCTGACTGACCCCTTGTACTTTTCCTAGATAATGGGACTTTCTGTCCCACCCATGTCATCTAAGAGACCATATTCACCATACCATTGATTTTTAAAGTCTTCAGCCCCTGCTTATGGAAATCTAAGAGGAAATGGAAGAAAAGAAACAAGTGCTTTTCTGCCTTCCTTTCCAGTTCACCCTTTACTAAGAAGATAGAAGGCAAGCATAGTCCACAGGGCTGCTATGTCACCTTCAGAGGACGGTCACCCGCCCTTCTCCCATGTAGCAACATGGTCACTTTTCCAAAAATAAAGGCAGGGATTAGGATTGGCTGTTCTTGGAACAACTGTTCTGGTTTATTAATACATTTTTGTAGTTGCCCAGTTCACCCCCCAGGCCTGGACCTTAATTCATCCATGATGCTATTAGACATAACTGTAACCCCAGGAAACACTTTTTTTCCCTCTAAAATATGGTTTGCAGGTCCCTGGAGGTTTCTGCAGAGATGCTAGTCTGAGGAAGACACACACAGACATGAAATGGCAGTGATACCTATACACAGACTCCCAAATCACAGTGACACAGCAGCATGGCCAGAGTGAGGTACATACAGAAATAGCCTCTCACATACTTACTGGCTCATTTTGTAGCTGAGGGGTTTCCAAAGTTGAGATTAACTGTTTTCTCTCCCACTCCCTGAAGATGTCCCTCTCCACACCAAAAAAGGGGAAAAGACCAAGATACTATTGGATTCTATCCTGTAATTTGGGAAAGATGCCTGTGGATTTTATTTCTCTGGACATTCCTTTCCATAGATTTGATTCCTAGTGGTAAGGAAAAAGCCTTATCAGTCTTCTACCTCAGTGATTTAAAAAAAAAACTAAACAAAAGCCAATTCTGCCAGACATAAATGTCATCTGTTTGTATTTATGTGGTTTGCTCTGCCCAATCGACCTTTCTGCCCAGGTTTAATGATGCCACTTAAAAAGCCATTCACACATCCCCTCTCCTTTCAGAGCTTTCAAGCTGAAATTGATTTCCTTATTCAGCCCCCTTCTCTCCCTTCCCATCCAACCCAGGCTCCTTTCCTCAACCTGATTATATGGAAGTGCTGTCACTGGGCAGTGGGCTGGGTTTTTTGTTGGTTTTTTTTTTATTGCCATGTCCATTAAGAAGTAGCGACAGTTCAGCTGCTAACGGATGCCACCTGCTTTTGGCTTGAGGAAGAGAAGCATAAGAATCACCTCATCAGCGGGGCAGTGCTGTGTCCTCGGCTGTGAAGGAACAATGCTCCAGGCCAGTGGGGGAGGACTCGGCATGGGGAGGAGCTCAGGACCGAGGCTACAACTGAGAACCCTGGCTTTGTTTTTGTTGGGATCAGAGAAAATAATATGAGGACTTTGTTCTCTTTCCCCTCCTCTTGAGCCCCCTAATACTTCCTTATGGCTACATGCTGGTATTAGAAAGAGCTTCCACTGCATTGCTTATGCCACACCCTACACACTCACACATCCCCCCACCCTTTCCTGGCCCAGCGCATTAGGCTCAGATTATGAGCTTCCTTCCAGAAAAGCTGTAGATTTGATTATTTTGATTATTTTGATTATTTGATTATTTGATTATTGTGTTGGCCCCCTCAGGTGGCAATGAGGTGTCTGAATAAGGTCAATTGCAGTTTTGTTGGTAGAGGATGTTGGAGCAGGTGGGGCTCTTAGGATGGGGAAATAAAAGACCCAGAGCAACCAGCGTGAGGGGGAGTTAAATACATGATGCTCCATAAGGTGCAGTCTTCCCATGGCCCTTCTACAAGTCATGCTGATGAATACCCTGTCGTCCTTGGCAGGGGATGGGGAGATGTGAACCTGTCACTCTGAGTATTTGTGCTCTCTGATTAGATGAACCTTAGAGTGTGGGGGGCACAGATTGACTGAGGAATAGGATAGGACAGATGCTGTGTCTCCTGACCTGCTCTCTCAGGCCTCCCACCGTTTCTTTTCCTTTCCTTTGACCGATGCTGCCTGAGAAAAGCAATCACGCTCACTTGCCAGCATGACTGGTGCCCAGGGCAGAGGCTGCAACATTTCCCGTCACAGGAAGCAATGTGATGGCTGCAGCACTGGCAGCCTCAGAGCACCGAGCCATGAAAGTGGC